AGCTTTGGGCCATCAGAGATGGCTTATCTATTGCTGTCAATCTCCAACTCCAGAAAGTTATTATCGAGTCCGACTGTCAGATTGCTATTAAACTTTTAACTGATGGTGTGAATAATTTTCACTCTCACAGTAATCTCATCATGGATTGCAAGGTCCTTTTGAGCAATATTCATCAAGTACGGATCCAACACAGTCCTCGACAGTGTAATATGGCTGCAGATGCCCTGGCTAAGAAGGGTGTTGGTTCTTCTTTCCCTTCGTTTGATCTGTTATATGACTGCCCGCCTGATGTGGGCTTATTTTGTCTTGCTGATATTGTAGGGGTTTGCTACCCCAGAACCTAGCTGTTTTGTTCCGTTGTACTCTTTTATTACCAAAAAAAAAAAGCTAGGAGAGAGAGAGAGAAAAAAAAAGTGCCCCACACACACACACATAAAGGTGCAACAACAGTCTCCTACCCATTATAGCACCATCATATTAGATTCCAACCTAACCACTGGAACCATTCCAAACTTCCAACGTCTTTTTCTTTCTCCCTTTGTGCGCCCATATGGTCCTTGAAAAAGGCACGCGTTAATGGAACCCCTGGATCGAGGCTGAAAGGAAAGTAGAAACCCAAAATATAAACAAGTCTTTAAGTCACTTGCCAAGTTCATCAAGAAAAACAGTACTACAAACGAGGGGTTGGATCAAGTGGTAAGCGGCTTATTTCAGTTTAAGCAAGGTCTCGAGTTCGAGTTCTTGTGTATGCAGCAGCCCTCGCTGGGAGATTCACCCACCATTTCCAGGTGCGCAACGCGGGTCGGGTCTGGATTAGTCGGGACGAAACCCCAGATACCGAGCGGGAAACCAAAAAAAAGAAAAGCAGTAATAAGCCAGTAACCAACTTCCACACCACAAATCTTCATTGTCACCTCGTCAACAACCCAAGAACTACCATAGCCCAAAAAAACGCAACAGCAAATGGGATTCCAAATCAGAGCATTCAAATCGTTTGGCTTCCAGACCAATCCACCGCAAATGCACATGGAATCCAATTAAATCCCACAGCCACCACCAACCCGTAAGAGAGAGTTTTGGTTTTATGTATATATAGATCGATAGATATAATCAAGTTAAGGAGGAAAGATAGGAAATCAAGGAAAGGGAGAGAAAAAGAAGGGATAAATCCCTAGAGACAGAGATCCCAAATGTAGGAATTCACAAGTCAAGAGAAAGGTAACTCTAACCCTAATTCCAACGGCAAAAGTTGTTGTTTAATCTTTCTATATTTAGTTAAAATAAATTGATTAAAATTTAACGAATAACATAATCATATGTCATCATTCTATTTTTCTCCTTCAATACTCAATAAGCTTTCTTTGATTTGGTAATTTTAAACCCATTTTTCTAGTAACATAACATTTTTTTAAGGTTAAACTGTTAATATACTCCCCTAGTTATTGTACAGTCTCTTGAATTGATTCTTAAACTAACAAAATCTCTAATTTCATCTCTAAAATTTCTAAATTTCGCTCCAAGTTGGTCTTTTCATTAAAAATCAACTAGCGTATTCGATACTTAATAACAAAAGACTATCACTTGACAGCATGTATCATGTTAGTGATGAGATACTTCAACTCTTTTTGAAAGAAGGGACCAACTCGGACTCAAATTTAAAAATTTTAAAGATCAAATCAAGGATTTCTTAGTTCAAGGATCAACTCAAAGGCCTATACAATAGTTAAGGGATCAAATTAGAGGTTTAACCTTTTTCTACAGGTGACATTTTCTCATATCGTACTTTTGACAAATATTGTCTCTAAATCTCTCCTTTAAGTGGTGTGATAAATGTGACTACCAATGTGTGCCATTCATTTTGCTCAAAGTTAGAAAGAAATTCTTGACGTCTCAACACTACTTTCAAGCGTTGGATTTAGTTGTAAGTCAATGGAAGAGTTTTGGCTAAAAAAAAATATGAGGTGCCATGGTGAGACAATTGTTGCAAAATCTATGATAAGTTTCCATTAAGGTTTATAAATAATTGTCTTGAAAGAACATTAGGAATATCACACAACTTATGCCAAAATGTTAGTTTGTTAATCAAAATAAAAGAGAAAACTATAAAGAAAGGAAGTGTATGATAGAAAAACTAAATTATAAGAGAAAACATCAAGAAAACTTAGATAGAACCTCTAAATAGAAAAAAGACAAACCCTATTAGAGAGAGAAAGTTGTTAATGAATCTTTGTTATGTGTTAATTTATGAGATTAGTACTTATTCACCTTATCTCTTAAATATTAGAAGGAAAATTATTCCAAAATTACGTAGTTTTAATAAAATACTACAAGGAAAGAATAAAAAACACTCTAATTTATACTTTAAAAATAAGGTATTTTAATATTTTGCAATGAAGATTTATTGAAATGACGTAGTTTTTGAATGATTTTTCTCCTAATCTTTAGGAGGCAAGGCGGATAGACACTATTCCCTTAATTTATTAAGAATATTTAGGTTTTTTCTTTATCTTTCTTGGTATTTATTTGTTATAATATTCTAATTTGCTGCAATTCTATATTTACTTACTCCATTATTTAATTTTAGTAGACCTATTTTTTGTCTACTAAAATAGAGTTGTAACAATTAATTGAAAAAATTACATATATTTATCTCTAATTAATCACTATTTAAATAAAATTTCTCATTTAATGAGCGTATGTTATAATTAATTTTTTTTAAAAGGGTAAAATAGAAACACAATAAATGTCATAAAAAATAAAAGTAAACAATTAAATTTATATACTTTAAATTAAAAATTAGATCTATCAAAATTGAATAGATGATATGGAGTACATGTTACAATGAACTATAAATAAGTCTTCTTAGCTTTCTAAATTAAAAATTAGGTTTATCAAAATTGAATAGAGAAGTATTTACCTCACACAAAATTTTACACATAAGTTTTATACATTATATTTATATAAAATTTTAATTATTTATCTTTTTATTTTTAATAATTGATATTTATTCATATTTATTAAAAATAATTATGTTTTACTTAAAAAATATGACAAATTTTAACAAAAAATAAATAATTAACATTTAATATAAATATGAGTGAATTACTTTTCATGTATACCCATGTGTTTAACGAAATTAAAACCATTGATTCAAGCACAGTAATAAAATTACTAATAACTTGTTAATCTAACTGAAAGAAATTTGATTTCTTTTTAATAAGGTATTAAATTCAAATTTTATAAATAGAGAAATAAATATTATGAAAATTTTTTATTTATGGGTCTAATACAATTCAATTCTAAATCTGATCTAATAAAGTTATTGAATATCGAAAAAGTAATAAAAAAAAAAAAAGCACCATAATAAAATCATTAGACCACAATAATCGCAGCAAAAGACAACAAAGATTAGTCGATCATTGATAAATTAAAATATAGAAAACGAGGAAGAGGATACGATTATGTGATAAAAAAAAGGTTAAAACCTTATTTTGGTCCCTGAACTATTGTATGGATTTTTAATTTGATCCTTAAACATAAAAAATCCTTGATTTGATCTCTATTGTTTACTATTTTTACCCTAATTTGGTCCTTCCGTTCAAATTTTGATGACGAGGCCTGTTAGTTCACTATTACAAGATGACATGTCAAATATTAATACATATGAAAGACAATATGACAAAAAAGTGATGACATAGAAAAATAATAATATAACAAAATTAAATAAAAAATTAAAAAGTAAATTCTTTTTTTTTTTTTTCTTTTTCCTTCTCTTTCCCATTCTCTTTCCCCTTCAAACCCAACTGCTGGGTTCCTTAGCATGCCTGGGTTCGATGGAACCCAGGCGCGGTTTCCTTAGAACCAATGCGTTGGGTTTGGTGGAACCTAATGTGCTTAGGTTCCTTTGAACCCAGCAACTAGGTTCCAAGGAACCCAGGTGCAGGTTCTTTCGAACCCAAATGCTTGGTTCGATGGAACCCAAGCTCGGGTTCCTTCGAACCCATGCGCTTGGTTCCTTGGAACCCAGGTCTTAAGTTCCACTGAACCCAGGATTTTTGGGTTTGAGTTTCTTTTTTTTTTTT